TTTGTGCCTCCAGTTATGAAATCATTTCTGCTCGGTGTTTTGTTTTTGTTTCTCTACCGTCACTTAACTGCTTAGCTCTTTCGTGGCTTTCTATTTCTTTACGAATAAATTCCATTAATTCCTTAATGTTCCATGTTTGGCCACTGTATCTACTGCGACTGTATTCTAATGTCATCTGTGATGGAATTAATTTTAACAATATTGGGCAAAGTAAACTACCGTAAGTTTCTGATAGCACGTTCATTGACTTTAAGCATCTAATTTGAGTTTCACACTGATCATATAAATTCCTAAGATTTTCTATATCTTTTACATTTCTAACAGGGATAAGAGTTAACAGTTTATTCATGTGAGCATTTATTACCAAATCTTTTCTCCCAAACCTGTTAGTTAACAATTCTATAGCTGAATCGTAGTTCTCATTTCTAAGCGAAAGTCCGGAAACGGCATTAGTAAGCTATCCCACCTAGTAATGACTTTAAGTAACTAAACTTATTTACGTTCGATAACGAGTCATTGTTATGGATAGCTGCCTCGAATTGACTCCAGAATTCCTGCCAATTGCTAGAATCACCAATAAATTTAGAGATAGTCAATTTTGGAAGGCGAATAAATTTATTACTTTCAATTTTGGAATCTATAGCGGTTTCATTAGTAATGTTCATACTTTCCTTATCTAAATTTTCGAGTTTGTGTAATTCCCTCAATTTTTTTTCTTGCTCTAAGTTGCAACACTTGTATTTTTTCTTCATATTCTAGAGCGGATGAAACTTCAAGTTCAAATTCCTCCTCTGTGACCTTCAAATCCCGTTCTATTTAATGTTTAAGTCACTCAGAGTTTTTGCTTTTTCATTTAGTATGTCTAAAGTTTTTTCTATTACATTTATACTAACGCCATCTTTGCTTGATTCTGTCTCGATTTTTCTTTAGTATCTTGGACACTGCGGTCCTTAATTTTTTGTGGATTCTGACACCCCACCTGCGATGAATAACAGAAAAAGGGTTCATTATGCTAAAAGTGATGATTGAACGGGTCAGACAACGTCACAGCGAGGGCGTGCCATTGACGGGTCCAATGATAATGACTAAAACCAAAATATTTCATGAAGAATCAAATTTGCACCTCTCTGTGCTACCTTAAAGTTATGATGCGAGTTATCATAAACTATTCTAAATCAAACTCGCACCTCTCTGTGCCACCTCAAAGTTATGATGTGAGTAATCAGATCATAAACTAGTGGTACTGGCAGGCCACATGCAACCTTGCATGGTCCATGAATACAGTTCTCATAGTTTAATATGCATTATTATGACAACAATTTGGAGAAATATTTTAAACTATTACATGATTTAGGATGCCATTTTACATTATTTTCATTACCATTAAATATACATACAAGTAATGTTTCAGAAAGTCAGCAAATGTATTAACTGACATTACAATATAAATCTTATTTGAAGATTTGTACTAGTCAAAAGATATATATTTTTAGCTATGATATTTATTAATTTACATTTTGAACAGTTTTTTGGGAGGGGCAGTTGAAAATTAAGATTGGTGAGCATCTAGAATTTGTGATAAAGACAGTTTCTAGCAATTTTTAGCTTGCAAATGTAAAAACTATGGAATCCTTAAGTAAAATGTTAAAGAAGTCTCCTTGATTTCATAGAAATTAGCTGCACATACAAATCAACTAGAAAACAATTCAAGTATTTCTAATCAACATTCTGGGTTGTACAATCTTATATTCAAATCAAGATTACCTTACCACCTAATAATCTATTTCATTAAAATAGCACTGTGCAGCATTCTGTAAATACACGGCAAGGGCAGCAGGCATTTATCGACAGCCAAACATCTATTTGTTGCAACTCATATGGTAATAAATGTTTTCCTTCAATTTATTCTAACTACTTGCCAATTAAATCTGCATAAACTCTCTAGACTGAGTAAGTACATGATGAAATGGGTCAAGGGAAAGATGCAAATAAAAGATTTTAACTTACCGTAATTTCCAGAAGAAATGCCGCGGCGTTTACGTGTTTAAAACTTAAATTTTCAGCAGGTGCGCCGTTTAGGTGCACTAGAAATAAAATATTTCCTTCGATGGTCATTGTGCATAGTTTGAATAACTTTGTCATTGTACATAGTTTAGATGGCGTTGTCATTGTACTCAGTTGTTCCAACACAAAAGACCATTCAGTTGCTTTTTGCGAACATTATTTTGTTTACATTCTTTACCTTGAACGGACTTACATGCCTTATTCACCCTAAACAGGATCTCAGAACAATAACATTCTTCCCCCTTTGAAATAAGCATTTTATCATTTTGAATAGTCTCTCTCCTCTGCCATTCGATGAATCTTCCAGGAACCATCCTCTCCCCACCCGTCTTTTCTGCAATTTTTTTAAAAGGCAGACATGACTCCACCTGCCTCGCAATAACAAATTCTGACGTATTTCCCCTTCAGCATGAATTGATTTTTCTTGGCATTCTGCCAGATACAGATCCCATCAATTTGGGTACAAGTACTTGTTGGATAGTTTTTAAGTAAGAAGGGAGTGGAAAATTTTTCAAAAATGGCACCTAAACGGCACAGAAGCTATACTGCTGGTTTTAAGCTTAATGTAATTTCACGTGCTGAACAAATTGGAAAAAGAGCAGCAGCTCGAGAGTTTGAAGTGGACGAGAGATGTATTCGACGTTGGAGAACTGAAAAACTTAAAAATATGCCACAACAGAAACGAGCCAAAAAAGAAGTGGTACTGTAAGGTGGCCGAATCTAGAGGACAACCTTGCAAACTGGATAAAGGAGCAACAACAACAAACAACAACAACAAAAAAAAAAAAAAAAAAAAAAAAAAAAGAATGGCAATTTCAACTGTAAAAATTCACTTACAAGCAAAATTTATAGCAAAGCAAATGAACATAAATGATTTCAAAGGAGGGCCTTGCTGGTGTAGCAGATTTATGAAAAGTAAAATATTTCTGTGTGTACTAGAACAGTCGGGCAACAATTACCAATGGACTGGCAGGATAAAAAAGGCATCTTTTCTAGAATATGTGACAGATATTATTGACAAAAGAAAACTTCTTTGGTCACAGATAATAAATATGGATGAAACGCCATTAGCTTTCGACTCTCTTCTGCAAACAGAACTGTTGATGAAACTGGTGCAAAAACTGTATCTGTGCTTACGACGGGGCATGAAAGAGCATCATTTACATGTATGTTAGCTTGTGGCGCAAACAGTGACAAGCTAAAGCCGATGATCATTTTTTAACGGAAAACTATTCCGAAGGGAGATTTTCCTAATTACGTAATTATTTGTGCAAACGAGAACGGCTGGATGTGCGAAACAATCATGCATGAGTGGCTACAAAAAGTTTGACAGTGTCGTAAGGGATCTTTTTCCCAACCAAAAGGGTTATTGATAATGGATTCCATGCGTGCTCATTTACTTGAGTCAGTGAAAACCAGATGTCAAAAATTGTCTACGACCGTAGCAATAATTCCTGGTGTTTGACAAATCTTACAACCATTAGATTTGTCAGGTCATTTCATGCATTTTTCTTAACTTATATGTTATATATCAGTACAAAGGTTGAGATTTTGTATCTATATGGCCCCCGACGATGTCACGTGCAATTTAATCTATTGCGGCGTTTACGCTGATGCATCGTTTCTGTGTAATTTTAATTTTTTTCCCACCATTTTTCTCGAGTGCGGCGTTTACGCTGATGCGGCCTTTCTTCCGGAAATTACGGTAGTTAAACTCAAATAAAATGCTAAAAGAGCACCAGACATTTTACACAACTAGATTTTTGCATATACTTTTTTTTACCAAAATTGTTAATTTAATTAATATCGCATAAGCATTGTAGTCTTAGTTTATATACTAGAGAATTTATTAAAGAAAATTAAAACTTTCTAAAAACTGTTATTTTATTTTTGAAATTAAATAATTGGTGTGGTAAATAACAGGTAGTAGGAAATAGAATTTTAAAAGAAACTATTTTTGAACTGGTGTAAATTATGTAATATGCAGAACAGGTAGTAAGATATAGAATTTAAAAAGAAAAACCGTGTGTGTGAGACAGGCATAGTTTTTCCCGAGATGGGCTAAATCTTACATCCACACTGTATTGAAATATGATGAACATGCTAATAACATTGGTAGAATTAACAAACTGAGATGGCAACATGTTTAATTCATTTTTCATCTGGAAACAGATACTGCTGCACTGATAAAACGATGCAGATATTAAATCAGATTTGCTTTTAAATTTTCATGAGTAAAATTCTTGACCGTAAAAGTTGCGACCAGCTCTTATGGTCAAGAATTTTACTAATGAAATATACATTCCAAGTTGTGATGTCTAAATTCTAAAGAAAAATTACGCTTACCAAGTCGGTAAGAGCAAAAACCTAAAAACATTTTTTTTTGGGGGGGGGGACTAATAAGCATAAAATTAATTTTATAGAGAAAGCCGATGAATAGTCTGAGAATTCAGAATATTGATAAAATTACATGGGAAAAAAAAAACTTGATATACTAAAAAGAAACCATGATGATACTAAAAAGAATACATTTTTTATTAATCACATAGATTGTTTTTTATAGCATTTATTATCCTGTTTACTTTTCAGATAAAACATTGTGCAATAAGTCATCAAAATGGAAAGTCATATAACTTTATTATATTAATGATAATTAGTATTAAAACTTACAGACACTAACAAGAAAATTTCAAGTGTTCCCTACAGGGGAGCAAAAAGACTTATTAAACATATGGTATGCTTACAAAAGCATGAATATTAACATGCAATAAATTGCAACAATTATCAAAATGCACACTGACACTAGGATATACAGGTGAAAAGTGTGTGTTTTATTACAAATGTGCAAATTTTTAAGTACAACATTTCTTTATAACAAATTGATAAGAATTAATATGCAAAAGAGTGAAAAATACTCAAATATCAACACACAAAACGTATAACAAAAGGATTTTATTTAGACATGTCAGAAATAATGCCAGTTACAACAAAATAAAAGAAGTTATGCACTTGAGCTATTACAGAAGGCTTCCCTAAAGGGGAGAAAAAAGACAAGAGTTTAATAATGCTACATAAAATTTAGTTTTACACAATTTTCTTAAAAATCATCTTAATTCATAGCAAAAGATATTCACAATACAACAATAACATAAAAAGAATCATACACTGTTTATATCTTAATACATAAAATATACACCGAAGAGCCATTACCTTATTACCATCTTCCATTTATAACCATGGGCTCGCCCAGGAAGAAAACCACTGCGCATGGGCAGCTGATGCTGGAGTATATAAAGCACCTATGCATTGTCTTTCCAAACACAATGCAATTAGCCACATAATGGGAAAAGCAGCTGATTAATCAGACTTCGATAAAGGTCAAATTGTTATGGCTCGGCAACTGGAGACATCAATATCAAAAACGGCATGTTTAGTGAGCTGTTCACGTGCAGTTATTGTGACACATATTGAAAGTGGTGTATGGATGGTGAAACGAAAAGTCGCCAGCCAGCAGCATGTCTTCGAAGGCGCATCGAGTCCAGAGAAGATTGCTACGCATTCTTCACCATGATGGAACAGCTACAAGAGTGGCAACCCAGACAGTATTTCTCAATGTTCTGTGCAGCGTATATTGCTGCATATGCACATACAGAGCAGGAGTCCAAAGCATGTCCCTGCACTGATGGCACATCATTGCCAGCTGCGTCTGCAAGAAACATCAGATAATGAATTAAAGTTGCGTGGTCCAATGAATCATGTTTTCTTTTCTATTACATCGACGGGCGAGTGCTAATATGCCGATTTCCAGATGAAACCCTGGCTCCCAGATGCACAGTTGGACGGAGGCAAGTCAGTGGCAGGGGTATTATGGTGTGGGCAAATGTTCTCATGGAGCACATAAAACACAGTTCCCACTGGGGTTTAGCTGAGCTAATGGAGTCAGTTCCATGTGTGCCTGCAGTTCAGATTTTTTAACCTGCTGCCCTATGGGGAAAAAACTAGTTTTGGAGATGGATCGGTCAGCTGTGTTCGTCAGCTCAGATAAACCCCAGTGGGAACGTTGTTTAGGACCCATAATCTCCATAGAAAAATTCCTGACGTCTGTGTGCTACATGAACATCGCCGCAGACCAAGTTCATCCATTCATAACAACAGTACTTACGGCGGGGGATGGTGTTTACCAACAGGATAATACACCATGTCTTAAGAGTCGAATTGTCAGGGAGTGGTTCGAGGAACATTCCAGCGACTTTTAAGTCGTGTCTTAGCCTTAAAAATCACCTGACATTAATCCAATAGTCCATTTGTGGTCCCACCTGGAAAACCAAAGTCACGCTACCCCCTCGCAATGTGTGGGAATTGCAGGACCAGTTGGTGCCAGATACCTCAGACTCTTGTATCAGCACCTTGTACAGTCAATGCCACGCCAGGTGCCGGCAGTTTTGAGGGCTAAAGGTTATCCTACATGTTATTAACAGGAAGGCTATAATGTAAAGGCCCTTCGGTGTAGATGTGTATGAATTATATTTTACATCATGGAATGAGTTTTCTATGATTATATGCATATGCAGCCCTTGCTAGGTGATAGAATTCATTAAACATATACAACATCTCATAGTCATTTAATGGATTATTTACTATCGTCACTGACAAGAATTTCCATGGAGGTGAAATTACTTGCTTAATCTGAATTCATTATACATCAAAGTTTAATAATTTAATGAATTTTTTCAGGGGTGGGGCAATCTTCATTAAAGACTGAAACAGGAAAATTTAATCACTTTTGATTTGGAACAGAAAATAATGAATGATTTCTTTCATCTACAAACAGAGGTTCAGTAATGGGAGAAAACTACAAAGCTTTATAATAAATTAAAAAAGTTCTTATTTTATCATTGAATAAAAGGGGAATTACGAGAAACTCCAATGAGACCATCACTGCCTAAAACATGTATGAAATAAATATAATGAAATGTAACTTATTCTGCACACACCATTTACAGATTTGCAAAAAGTTACAGAACAGTTAAAAATAGATTGAAAAATCCATTTATAACAGAAACTGTTTATTATGCACTGTCTGATCTGGAACAGGAAAAGTTGCTGAACACTGAGTTTGGTCAAGAGTTCAAATTTGAGCGAATGGGCTGTCTGCATGGGCATTTTCGTTGTTTTTCCAGTTTGCCATAATTAAATAAACCAAACCTTATCTGGGCTCACTCCTTCAGCACACAACTTGAGCCTTATGTTACTGGTAATTTAGGAAAAAATTATCAATTAATAATGCCAATGTAAGGTTAGAAGTTCTGCACTCAATCCTACATGACTTGCGAAAAGAGTGAAGAATGAAGCAAGATACCAGTGACAAAAATCTTTTATAGTTTGGTATTCTATATTACTTTGCATATATATCATTAGGCTTTTGCATTTCTCAGTTCACCAGATTTCCTCATTTGTTTCATATTCTGACGGTATTTTAATGTAGATTTTCATATCTATATTTCCAGCAACATAAAATATCTCTTGTGCTTAAAACTGCTTTATTTATATTTAAATAAAAATTTATATGCACTAAAAGTATTTATTAGCATTTTATTTACTTTATGTTACTAAAATAAATTTTTCATACATGTTTATAATCAACGAAAAGTTTTAAGGAAAAAAAAAAAAAGTTTTACTCACCGATTTCCTATCTTGAGATGATCTTGAATACAAATCATGCTCCCACAAGCCAGGAGAAAATCTGCCCTCTAGAATATAAGCTACATGATGAGCTGAATATTTATAATACTTCTTAGTCAAATATTTATTAGGTATTTTATGTGTAAAAAATATCTTTGTTTAAAAGATTATGCCACTTTAGATTACTTAATATGCAATAAAGTTTGAAATTTTACATTCTTTGAGACATTTAATATCTTCTTCTTCCACATAAATCTTTCTGAATTAGTTTCTTTTAAAATGTAGTTGAGTGAGGTTCAAAACCAATTTCACCAAATAACAGAAATTTTTTCTTTTAAAGGGCAAAAATTAGACTTTAACAGAGCTACTTTCAGCTAATCTAGTACTGCATAAAATCACAACTACATAAATTTTCTAAATGCTCTTCAAGTTTAATTTATCAGCATGCGTATCCTAAAAAATGTATTAAAATGCCAGCCAGAAGATTTGAGATGAAAATGGAAGATTTGGGGATTTAATAAAAAACACCTTGCAACTGCTGAAATATTACAATCACTGTTATGTCAACAACAGATTACGTTAAGGATTAACACCGCATATGAATGCACTTTATTTAGAATATATGGTTATCTTGTAGTACAACATTTAATATATTTTCAAATACTTTGCAAAGTTCTTTTTATCAAACTAATTTGTCGAGTTATGATTCAATTCGACAAATTATACAGTAGATAAACTGTTAGATAAATTGTATAGGAATTTACTTGTAAATCAAATACAGTTTAAAAACATTCTGATTACTTTAATGGTTCTTGGAATTGTATAACATTCATGGAACATATAAATAAATAAATAAAAACACTGACAAAAATTAACTGATAAATTCAGTGCTTCTTAGAATTGTAGAATATATATGGTGTGAAGAATAATAACCCATTTACAGAGAAAACAAATTTACAAAATTTTGTGTAATATAAGGTAAAGTAATGTAACTCGCAAGAATTTCCTAACAAAAATAGCGACTGATTTTTTATAAGATAAAACAAGCACATAATTTCTTAGCAAGAACTTATAAACTCATTCACAGAAGTCAGTTAAAATACAGTCAAAAGTCATTAATCCGGACTCGTCGGGACTTCGGCGATTCCGGATTATAGATCATCAGTTTAAATCTGGTAAGATGGCATGCAGAAATTACAAAATTAAAAATATGAAAACGTAATTTATGAAATAAAGAACAATTATGATCTAAAGGGTATCAAAATTTACAAAAAAAAGCTTAATATTTATTTGTTTACTTTATTAAACATTTCCTTCAATGTAAGTTGCTTCGTTTCATGTGATAATACTTTCTCTTTAATTCTATTAAACAGACATAATTTCTTGTTTAGTTACAAAGTTCCGCTGTTCAAGTCCTATAATTGCTGTGTTGAGAATGCCGACTAATTTTGTCAATCGAAATGTTTTCGTTTTCAATAACCTCTGGATCACTTTCTTCACTATCGGATGCGAATTATAATGACGAGGAACTTGATTTAAATCATATCAAAGATGGAGTATATCGAGATGAAATACTACACTTAGTACGGAATTATAAACCAAATAAAATAAAAACATCTGCTCTGAAGATAAGGATAGTGCTGACAGATCAACTTAACTGAATTAGATAACTGCAACGTTAACTGAATTAGATAACTTTAGCTTAGCGTATAACTCCGTTACACATTAAACGCGCATGCGCACAAACATATTCGCAGCTGTAAGGGTCTTATGCGCTCTCGTAAACGCCTGTGCGCATGCGTGAACGCGACGCATGCGCAGAAAGTTTATAGCTTTGAGGTCCGGATTATAGATCATTCCGGATTATGGGTGTCCGAATTAACGACTTTTGACTGTAGTTCATTAGCAAAGACTGAACCTAGAAACCTTTCGACTGTTAGAATTGTAGCAAGAATGAACTGGAACAACATAGGGCATTCACACCGGCATGGACTCCTCGAATACTTTCACAGTAGGTCAAAAATTAGCTAGTGGTTTCTTGTAGTGCAGTGATTTTATTTTTATTATTAAAATTAATAGAAAAACATGAAAACTTCTCTGACATTTACCCATGCAAGCTCTGGTACTGATAAATGTTATCTAGAAAACATCCACTGAAAGATGGATGTTTGAATTCAGACGATGACACAGTTGATTTACCATTTTTCCTGACTCTGAAAAACCTAAAAGGTCTCCATAATTTTACTCTCCACAATACTGGTAAAATTTTCATTTACAATATATGAATTACAGAAGTATTTTGTTAAAATCTAAATAATTTAAACTAACTTAAATCTAAATAATTAGAACTTACTTCGAGGAGTTCCTCTTCCTCTTGGGCTGGTGCTGGAAGCTCTATAACCTCGGAATGAACCCCGGAAACGCATGCTACCTCTCGAAAGCCCACGAAAGCCTCTACTGCGAAAACCTCTTAAGCTTCGAAAAGGTCTTGAACTTCCTCTTCCTCGATATGGATCAGAACCTTCTCGATTATCATGCTAAAAAGGAATTATTTACTTTTAAAGCACTTCATTTAGATATTGTTACAGATTTGGTATTTAAATAATTAATGTTAATAAATAGAATTATAAATAAAATTGTTTTATTCCTCGTGCAGTGCAGTGCTTGACAAATATTAAAAAAAAGCTAAGCCAGAAAATTAAAAATACAAGAGCACGTGCATTTAACATTTAATAAATATCTCTTTTCGATTTTGAGAAAGTTCCAGAAAATTCTAGCGCGCGATTTAAAAATCTTATGAAAAGGAGGGAAAACCTCTCAATTCGATGATTTTAGTTATTTTTCTGTTGTTTTAAGAGTTTTTTTAGAAAACTGCTCTTGTTGACTGTAGCGAATTCGTGTATTAGCTTTCTTTAGCTGTTTTGAATTAAGTTCTCTTGAAAGTTTGAGTAGTTAGAAGACAACTACTGTGATACTGCACGATTATTTGAGGACATTTAAGCATATTTGTTGTGATAATAATAAATTTTCTCCATTTTTCATCGGACTTTGAATTATTATTATGCGCTTTCCAAATTCAAACCATGGAAAGATACAAGTGAAATTCTTGAGCTGATATTAGCATTGCATTTTCAGAATGCTGTGTCACAGTATTTTGAAACGGTATTTCTGAAATAATTAAAATCATTCATTTTGTAACGAACTCGTACGCATGCAACAAGTTTTGGTCTAAGGAGTACGGTTTGAATGCCAATAACAAGCGCGATGGAAGAACAATTAAGGCAGTTGACATCAGCCTTTGCCCCGCTTAAAGAAGAAATAAAATCTAGTCAGGAAAAGATAGAAGAAGCCGTTAAAAAGGAGATGAGAGGCATTCAAGGAAAGATTGGAACAGGTCAGGAGGAAATGAAAAGAGAAATAGCTTGTGTAATAGAAAATAAATTTGAGGCTATGGACGACAGAATAGGAGCTGTCGAAAATAAAGTCGGACAAATTGAAGAAAAGGTTTCTTCTGTCAAAGATCAAATAGAAGAGAAAGTATCGGCTGTGGAGCAACGAGTTGAAGGAAGAGTATCGGCCGTCCAACAACAAATCGAACAATAAATTGAGGAAAGGGTTTCTGCTGCTATTGTCAAAGAAGTTGACACTTTAAAGAAGAGCATAGCAACAGATGGAAGCAATTCTGAAAGTTTTAAAATTTACCGATGCCTATTTGTCCCTTTCTGAAGCTATCCACATATGATAGCAAGACCTCCTGGCAAGTGTATAAAACACAATTTTCTATAGTGGTGGAAGCAAATGGATGGGATTCCCAAGCTACGGCCTGTCATCTCACTACTACTTTGAGAACAGACTCAGTTCTGCACTCTTCCTGAAAACAAAAGGCTAGATTTCAAAGCTTTGTCTGGCACGTTGAAGCTGCGCTTTGGCAAGAAATGTGTAAAAGATTACAGCAGGCTTCAATTACAATCCCGTCAACAGAAGCCCACAGAAACACTTCAGGAGCTCACCATGGATGTTGAAAGGCTGTCCCATCTTTCCTTTTCGGAATGCCTGACAGAAACAAGGGAAATCTTGTCACTGTAATACTTCATCGATGGCATTCAGGATCCTGAAATGCAGAGAGCTCTGACAATGGCAGACACCAAGGACATAAAAAGCGCTCTAGTGTACGCCATGAAATTCGAGGCAGCCCAGCATGATTGTATGTATAACTCGGTTAGATGAACTCTTGTCAGAGTTCAGGTGGGGACTTTGTTAAGGAATATTCTTTGATATCGCCAAGAGATAGCATTAGAAGTCCATCTATTGGCTTACTTAACACTTCCCCTTATGAACACGTGACTTGAAAAAATATTCTCTGTGAAGGTAGAATTCAATTTAGGCATTTTAGCCTACATCGTATATATGTAAATATTAAGTTCAATTAAAATTATGCAAAACCTTCCAGGCCATGCATCTAATTTTTTGATTATGAAAGATTCAAAATTGATCTAGAATTTTACAAGTAGGCTCAGAGTGTTGTAATTCTGTATATAGGACTGCTATAACGTGTAGTTGTGCCCTACCTTTTTGGTTGCGATTGGCTGCATTAATAGTACATAAATATATATATACCCACTCTGTTACTTGGATCCATGCACTCAGTTTTCTTTTACTTTTATTTGTTGGTAAATTGTCCTTTTTTGCCTTAAAAATGACTGACTTATGTTGTTCTTATCTACTGGTTAAGATTGTTATGCCTTTAGTTAATCTCCATGCAATAGTTGTAAAAGGATCAGCAATTTAAAAGTTGTTTAAGTGTGGCTAAGCCTAATTTTTTAACATAGCAGACACATTTGTTTACATTTAAAACTTAGAATAGTGAATTAAGTCAGTTTCTGCACTTCAATGTCTTTATGCAAGTGAACTTTTACTTTCGAGCACTGAAAAATCTGCCTTCTTGGCTGCTTTAGAACAATGAATTAAGTCAGCTTCTGCACCTTCAGTGTCTTTTTGCCAAATGGGACCGAACGTAAACTTTCAATTTTGTGCACCGAAAAGTCTGCCTTCTTACCTGCTAACGTGAATAGCTTATTTTTGTGAAGAAACTCTAATTCAAATTTTAAAAATTGTTTTAACTTTATTTCATGTTTTATATTTTTCAATTTTTAATAAACATATTTTGAGGTTTCATGTATTTTTGCCTTGTTGTGAAGTGAGAACTGAATTAATTGAATGAGAAATTATATCTCTAATGAAATTCAAGGAATAAAATTAAATTAAATGCAGAAAAAAATGCATGATTTAAAATCCATACGAGGAAGTCATGTGGTGTACACATCAAAATTTTTTAAAGAAGTCAACAGACTTTTGATGATAAATATTTTTAATATATGCATATAACATATAAATTAAATGGGATTTTTTATTAGAACTGAATTAAAAAAAAAGTAGTACAATCAAAAGTCGTTAATCCGGACTCGTCAGGACTTCGGCGATTCCGGATTACAGATCATCAGTTTAAATCTGGTAGCATGACATGCAGAAATTACAAAATTAAAAATATGAAACTGTAATTTATGAAATAAAGAACAATTATGATCTAAAGGGTATCAACATTTACAAAAAGAAAAAGCTTAATATTTATTTGTTTACTTTATTAAACATTTCTTTCAATGTAACTTGCTTCGTTTCATGTGATAATACGTTCTCTTTAATTCTATTAAACAGACATAATTTCTTGTTTAGTTAAAAAGTTCCACTGTTCAAGGCCTATAATTGCTGTGTCGAGAATACCGACTAATTTGTCAATCGAAATTTTTTTGTTTTCAATAACCTCTGGCACTTTCTTCACTATCGGAAGCGAATTATAATGATGAGGAACTTGTTTTAAATCATATCAAAGATGGAGTACATCGAGATGAAATACTACATTTAGTAAGGCATTATAAACCAAATAAAATGAAAACATCTGCCCTGAAGATAAGGATAGTGCTGACAGATCAACTTCCAATTCATTGCCCACCGCGGCGTTCTCCCCGCCGAGTAGCGTGAAATTGATAAACAGATTTCGGATTTCGAAACATACCTTCGCTTTAGATACTTTACATATGAGCAAATATATATCGGAAATTCTATTTGATATAATCGAAAGTTCAAGCTTACTTTTATAAAATTGCTCTAACAGTCTGCAAAAAATAATAAGCCGGATGCAATTCGAAGATTAAGGAACAACGCAATCTGCAACATTAACTGAATTATTTTAGCTTAGTTTATACCGTCCGTTATACATTAAATCCGCATACGTAAACGTTTTATGCGCACGCACACACGGATATTTGCAGCCGTAAAGGTCTTACGCGCACACGTTAACGCCTATGCGCATGCGCAGAAAGTTTGTAGCTTTCAGGTCCGGATTATAGATCATTCTGGATTATGGGTGTCCGAATTAACGACTTTTGACTGTACAGTACAAAGTCCGAAATCTGGACTCGTCAGGACTTTGGCGATTTCGGATGATAGATCATCAATTTAAATCTGGTAAAGGCCCATCCACACGAGTACGCTTGAAACGTAGCTGACAAACGTGCTTTTATGTTACCAGTGTAAAAGCATCCAAACGAGTATGTTTGCGAAGAGTGCATTTAAGCAATAGAATTATTTTGCACAAAAATCACGTGATGCTGTAATATAGCACCAACAGAGCTGTATCTTATTACTTCGCTCTGCTTTTGTATGTTTGCAGCAAGTTGTCCGAATCAGATTTTTTCTTTTATAGATGAAACTTTACTATTAAAGTGCAATTATTAAGCAGAGGCAAAATGGCAAGAATGAGTCCGAAAGATTTATTTAGAATAACCTGTTTAAAGAGGTTTTTTTTTTTTCTTTTTCTTTTTTAAACTGCCTCATTTGCGAAATGAATATCTGGTATTATTAAATTATTAAATTCCTACTATTAGCTCACACTCTCCCTATATCTTGTTCAAATTTTCAGTACATAAAATGCTTTTTATTCATCCACTCAAGTTCAAATACAATTTTTTAAACTTGTAGTGAATGACACTTGATGTTAATACAGCTTTTTCACATATTAAAAAATTTTTAATTTTTCTTTGTGGACCTAAGTAGGAATTGACTTTCTTTTTTTCTTTTTCTTTTCTTTTCTTTCTTTCTTTCTTTTTTTTTTGTATATTACTTGTTTTTTAATTACTTCAGGATGAGTATCGACCAGTTTGACAGACTTGCAGATTCTATATTGTATGAAAATTAGGATTTATAAAATTGGTTTGGAATACAGTATATAAAGAGAATTAAATTACTTAATTCTCTTTATATATACCATCCACCATATAATAAAAATAACTTCATATTTTTTTAACTCCCCCTCCCTTGGTCCTTTGTTTTTCTTTTTATTTATTTTTGAATTTAGAATGAGGTTCGAACTTTGGACAGTTTATGAGAAATTATGTGCATGATAAAATATGCAATAAAGTAAAAAATAAAGAGAGAATTTATACATGATATATGATAATGAGATGCAGATATATTATTACAT